GAATCATGTCCATACTTAATAAATCAAATGCACAGCAGTAAGCTGTGCAGAAAGGGGTAACACAAAAAATTACAAAATGTACCAAATGTATTCTTAAACACCATTCTCTTGCCTAAAAGCTATACTGAGAAGATAGCAGTGATAAACTTGTTTTTCATTGGTAGCCTTTGAGCTGCATTAATCTTTAATCATTAAATCTACAATTTGAGGCAGAACTCCAAAACAGCTCACAAATATACAGTTCTGACAAATTATCACATTATAAAGTTGATATGGCCAATATGTTAGCAAAGAAAAGCTTAATACACATTCAGCAGACTTTGAGTAAAATTAGTATTCATTTAGAGTCATCTTTCTAGCTACCTGACAAATGTAAGTCCAATATCCACTCTCCTTTTAGCTCTGTTTTTTGTCTCCACCAACCACTGAGGGTTAATTCTGGCTCTTTAGCAGCTAAATGTTCCATTATGTTCACCAGCAAGTTGCTAACTTTGAGGTGTTTTGCTGCTGCATGAAATAGCGTTAATGAGAGCGGCAAGACTGAACCAAACCAGTTAAGTTCAAACCACAACAATGAGCTGAAAGATTCTAAAATGTTTTTTAGATTTACGGTCCAACAGTTTGCCAAAGGACTGCAGTTGAAAATTAGACAGCTGGGTAACAATGGCACATTGATGGAAATGTTGATTAATGTGTGTTGTCCTTATAAACAGAGAAATGAAATGAGGGCTGAGTCAGTTTGTCATTATGAGCGACCAGGACACATATTCATTTGACCAACTGGTAATACAAAAATATAGCTCTAAAGATTTCCCGCTTGTAAATCAACAGACTTTCTGACACACTAGCGATAAAAACTGAATCTGATGAGCTAACTGAAGACCTACTACTCAACTGCACTACTGACTTGTTAACACACTGTAATATCTTCCAGTGTTTATTGTGTTCATCTCACTTCCATATTTTTTAATGCAGCAGCTAGAATTGTCTGACTGACCAACACCATAAAAAAAAATCAACGTATGTACGTATTTTTGTATCCAATTAAAATATTAATAATTAAATAGGGAAATATTGATACTTGGAGTCAGTGTATCAACACACAATTGCCAGGCAAAATAAATGTCCCGGTATCACTGTGTATGGATTTATTCCGTACCCTTTACTTAGCAAACAGAGGAGCGAGTTTCAGACTGAAAGGTCACTGATCACCTCTCTCAACTATTAATGTGTCTAATCTCATAATTATGTAGCAGAGAGTGTTGAAAAGGAGAGACTGTGCTTCATTAACCTATTAAAAAATTAAATATTGCCGTGACTCATTCGAAGCCCATTTAGATCATGCAGTCATTTCTCTAAACTCTCTCATGACATCATTAGATATCTTTGGCCTGATGACGAGCTAAAGCAAAGTCGTCATGTCGGAACACTGAGTGTGCGTGTAAAAGCTACACTGCATAAATCCAGTGGTGCTCGGTGTGCAATATACTTTTATCTGTTGTAGTATGAGAACAGCAGGATGAGCTCACAGCGGCTGCACAAACAAGCACAGTTTATGACAGCCCCCCCCCCCATCTCTTTTCTATTTGTACAGTGAAAGGTCATTTAAGTTTCTCTGGGACAATTGTGGTACATAGAAAGTTATATTATTTATGTGTTTTCTAGCAGATTTAATGGCCTTTTTTTAAGGATGTACTCACAATTTTCTTCTACTGTGTCTTCTGAGCATAATTGAAGCTTTTATCTACTTTGAATGTCAGTATTTAATGACAGTAGCCACAACTAGTGACAGTAAAATCACACATCCACAGGGACAGATTCTAATGTGTCTGCTCATTGCTCTAAACTCAGATGCTCAGCTTTTCAGATTTTAGCACATCATTGTTAATGCAGTTCTTTATAGACTGATGCACTGCACACTGTTGTATTCACCTTTTTTCTACATTTTTGTACATTCTACTTTTCTGTAAACTGAGCCTGTTCTCGTCTGTTTGTCCAAGTTTTTCCTCTCTCGTGTCTTTCGTTTATGCAAATGTTTTTTAGGCCGACACAGTTTGAGAACTTAAGCTGTGGGTGTGATCCGGGCACCTACAGCCATATGTTTTGGTCTTGTCTGCGGCTGGAGGGTTTTTGGATAGGGATTTTGATACACTTTCAGGTGCACGTAGCACAGTTCTTAATCCTAACCCTCTGACAACAAAAATCACAGCTAACCAAATGGAACAATATGGCACCACCATCTCATAAACACTGGCTGGACTAAGTAATGGCACACCTCAAACTCAGCTACAGAAAACTACTCTTGGCTCAGCCAGAAAGTTTATAAGATCTGGCAACCTTCCTGCTACATTCTCAAAATTGGACAAATCCCCATGAACATGCATGATTTAACCCCCACTGATATAATTAATGTGTGGGACAGATGTAGGCTAGGGTTGATGTTGATTTGTATGCGGTGGTGGGGCTGGGCGGCTGTGTGAGCAGTTTCTTTGTTGATTTGTATTTTGAAATAGTAACAATAGTGACTGTGTCTTACTGCCTTTTGTCTCTTGTCTTCTTCACAGTGTTGTGAAATCTATCCTGACCACATTCATCTGCAGCTTGTGGGACTCACCATCAGACAAACCAGACTGGCACTGGACCAAGGGTGAAAACTGGTATTGTGCTCTCGCCCTTATCTGCTTGCTGTTTACTAACAGTCGCAGAGTCCATCACTTGCAGCAGCGCTGTTATCTCAGCGACCCAGGCAACATGAGTAGAATGCTAGAGCCGCTGTTTTAGTCTCAGGCCAAAGTGTGTGTGTCAGTGTGTGTTTACATGTGTGTTTGTGTGCGTTTGAGCCCCTTCTCATACAAAAACACAAAAACAATGGAGCATCACGCACAGATGAAAATGATCCAAACTGCAACTAGTGAAGCCTAATCAATCTTTTGTTTTACTTTTCATGTGCAAAAGAAGTTGCTAATTTATTCAGAAATGTTAAGCTGATAAACATTTTAATCCTGTAGCTGTGGGAAACAAGGCTTTTAAAGGGTAACTACTTAATGGTTCTAAACCAATGCGCCCACAACAAAAAGAAACAGCCCAAAGGCCCAATTTTAAACCTTTGTCTGAGCTTATGTTTTTAAATCTGAAGCCACTTTTGCCAAATATGTTTAGAGCAATGATTTTATTGTAAACACCACAAATTGAAAATTGAAGACTACAAAACTACAATCTAAATACATATATAGCACAACTGACATAATTATTGCAATCAAATGTGGTGCAGTGGACACATTTGTCTGAACTTTTAAGGTTGGGGCATTATAATCTCTTTAGGATAGAACTTTGTATGAGAAAGATCGGCAGAATCTCACCCTGTGGAGGGGGTCATGATGCAGCCTCCACGATCAACAGTCATCCTGCAGCCACAGCCGCGCTCTGGGGTGTCGTGGTTCATGCCAAAATTGTGTCCCAGCTCGTGTGCCAAAGTCACAGCTGCACCCAGTGGGTTCTCAGAGTGATCCTGTAATGGGAAAACAGGGGAAACCCAGATCATGAGAACATGTAAACTATGTATAATCTTGTATATTTGACTATGTGTAAAATTCAATCAAAGATACCTAAGCAAGCTTTGAGTAAAAACCAAGCCATACTGAAGTGCACTGTCACTCACAAAAAATAAAAAAAATAAAAGAAAGGAAAAACAAAAAGTTCAAAGAAGACAATTTTTAAGCTGCAGATTCCCAAAACAGTTCTGTAACTGTCCGATCTGCCCCCTCATCCTTCTTCTATTACTTATTCTCCTCATGGAGGCCTGAATTCATCTGCCATTCCATTACCCCTGCAGACCCAATCATACCCACTGCTAGTGGAAACAGCTACTGCAGTGAGCTCTATAAACCTACCACTGTACCACTCGCTGCATTGATAAGCGAGACAACTGTCCTTCCTGAGGCAGAGAGAGAGGTGGAAGTTTTAGTTTTACCTAGTTTTGTAGATAGACAGGATGAGCCAAATGAGTTGTCTAAGTTTTAGTTTTTAAACATTTTACACTGACCATCCATAATTTTATGTGCGATTTTGCATACATTTCCCCTATTAATATCCGAAAAATACTGATATTGTGACATTTAAGTAGGGGTGCCCAAACTTTTTGCCTTGGAGGGCCAAAACTGAAACTTAGCAGTGGGCCACAGACAAAAGCAAACACCTATTGTTTCTATTGTTAAGATGCAAACTGATTCTAGGATCCCAAGTTCCCTTAATTGACTGCCTTAACAACAAAATCCACCTACCAGCACCTCCGAAGCTCACTAATCAACATATGTACTGAATATACATCCAAATAAAGAACATGAAGCACAGAGAAGTATGTTCCAGCCTTACCACAGATAAATGCTGCATGTTAGTTGCATATTTAACAAGCCTGATCGATATAACAACCCCCCCTCCAAAGATGCTTGTAATTAAAATCTTACTAATATGCATGAGCCAGCATTTTGTATCTGGCAACCCCTGAGACAGAGGTCGCCCACGTAGCTACTGTCTATCTTCCTTGAATGTTCCCTGCTATGGACATGAGAAAATCACATGCTTCCTTTGAAGGCGGGGTCATATGTCAAAGTTGAGGGCAAGCCTATTTATATTTTCTGCACTGATTACAGAGCAGCATCGTGGGGAACTGCACCCTGCCTTTTAACAAGAAGGATGGGAAAACTTTCCCCTTCTTCTGTCATGTTTATCAGTGTGTGTCTCTATTTGTGTGCGTGCCCAATTCATAGTTGAGTGCTTCCTCACGAAAAAGTGTAATATCAAAGTCAGCAGAAATGGATGAAACTCTTGGAAGCCACAGTCATTACTTTGAAGCAGCTACGTATAAGCCATTGTTGTGATGGCGAGAATTTGATAGTGTTGGTTACGAGGAAATGCTCTGATAGTCTTTCTGATATAATTTCTAGCCATATGAGAAAATAACTCCCAGACAAGAAAAAAAAAGTGGATATAGTTTGCTGTCACAGTTTAAACCTAACCATTCACATATAAAGACCCAAGTGAGTTTACTTGGAAAAATAAATAACATTACGATGTATAAACTGTGAGAACATGTGGACCAAATAAGAGGATTTGAGGCTGATTAACAGACATGGCGGGGTATGGTTTGAGAAATGGTTAATGTCATCTGGCCGCCTTCTAACCAGTTACATTGCCCTTTAATCTCGGTCCAAACCATCTTGCCATCTGTAAGTAATGGGGAAGACAAACATCTGGAGAAGCCTCACCACAGCCATGGGCAGCAGAAAACACATCTATTAATGGAGGATGCACATCTGGACTGGGGCGTAATGGCGTTGGCCTGATAACCACTTTGCGATTTGGCATGGGTGTCAAGTGCTACAGCAGGCAGAGGAGACCAACAGGCAGCTAATTTACTATGTGTGATAATTGTGTGTACCTGGGGTGATACACAGTTATGTGTAAAAAAAAATAATAAAGCATTTTGATTCAAATGTGTGGCATAAACAATTTATCACATCTCATAAAAATGTAAATGTGGTTTTGTTTAAACGCTGTGGCCTTTGATTTACCCTGTGCCCCACCAACCCTTATAGAGATGTCACAGGAAAGCCTGATTGAATGACTTCAAATGACCTTACAAGGGCGTGCGTGTCTGCACTCCAATCCTTCTGAGGGTATATTTTTACATATTCCTTTGTGCACATGAGTGTTTGCAGTAATGATGAGGGCATGAATGTTGAGGGAGTGCCAGCACAAATATCATTATGTTTAAAAGCATGACTTCCTGCCAGACCTGTCCGTAAATGTGCTTCCAGCTAACAGCGAACACCTTTTCTGTGTAAATCACGTCTGGGTTGTGTTAGCTGGCTGAATGTGAACAATATCTGGCTGAATACTGATACAATCAGGCTACACAGAGGAAGAGGAGGGTGGAGGCATGGTGGGAGCAGCAAGGTTTTGTACTCACCATGACAATGCCTCCAGACTGCTCAACTGTACACATGCTCATAATGGGTGCCATGCCAATGGTGGTACCCTGGAAGTAAACCCCGCTGTAAAGGACAGAGGACAGAAGTAGAGTGGAGAGTAGATAAAGATGTTATGGGAGACTATTTTTAGCTTGTTACCCACAAAGTGTGACTCCATTATTGCAGCTGGTTTTCCAAATCCAATTAATAGTTTAGATTAGGTTTAGATTAATCTCTTACTAGGTTCAGATGTAGTGTATTAACTTTGTTCAGAAATTACATATAGTTTTAAAATGATATTATCTGCATTCTGCAATCAAAAAAAGCATGTTCTGGATGTACCCACAGTTAACAAACAAGGTAGATGAAGAGAAGTCAAGAGAAGTAAAAACACATGGAAAAACAATACAGAGCCATATTTCAATGGAATAGTAAACTAAATTGAAGGCAGGCCTAAAACATAAATAAACAGAATAAGCTTTAACTTTCTTTGCATTATGAATTCAGATATATTATTAGTAGTAGTAGTTTGTTGATTGTACTGATTGATTTGTACCTGCCAAGGTGACAACTAATGGGAATCAAAATAAACAATGTTTTTAGATAACTGCAGTGACATTAATGGTAAACAATGGCTGACTAGGTAGGAAATGAGTGTTTTGTGTACCAATATGAACAATTGCTTGTTAATTTGTGGCCTCAATTTCTTCTGGTAAATTAATTTTCCACCTGATGAGCTGAGCATTGTCGTGAGGTTTCTGGGGCAGCAGTTTGACTTTCCTCCAGTCTAGGAACTCGTGCAGGGTGGTGAAGGGATCCTGGGTGATGGGACATTTATCAGAGTCACTCCACACCTCAAGACCCACCAGGGCCACCCGGATGTCCAGGGCCCTGTAGAACTGAAGTGGAGCATGTGGATAAGGAGAGAGTGAGTGTGGATAGATAGGCCAGAATATTGATAAGGCTTACATTACATGAATGATCAAAGCACCTTCAAACAGATGTGTGAGACACTATAGCCTTTTATCCTTGCTTCAATTCGCTGAATTACATTACATTTCAATTCGCAGCCCTCAATCCTCTCCTGTGTGCATCAGCATCATGTTTTTCACATGATCAGAGCATGTCTTTTCCATATCTCTATCTATGCTTTCCTTATGCAAATCCATCTGCCTACTGTATCTGCGAGCTATAGATCCACAGCCCTGGCAGAGGTTTTAGACAGACTAAAAGCAGCTGTTCTAGTAGGACATTAATATATCACAGAGTCATTCCATTAATCTCTGCTGCCAGCGATTTTTCTATTTTAAAAAAGTGATTTATCCCTCCTGTGCAAAGGGGAGAGGATGTTTTACCTTGTCCACATAATTGGCTATCTCTGCCAGTCTCTGTTTCACCTTCTCCACGTCCCTCCCGTGTTTCTGAAACTGAAAACAAAATTACATGTCATCAGTGGTAGAAATTGGAACATTTCACAAGTAAGATGTGTTGCATGAAGACATGAATGATACTGTAGTTAGTCATTTTTAGAACTAAAAAGCATGAAACAACACAGAACCCCCACAAAGGCAATACGTTTCACTGTTTGTTAGGCAGCTTGTCAAGCTGTGACCATCTGGATCTAGAAAAATCTCCCAGTGTTAGAGAGACGAATGGCACGGCCGCAGGGAGCAGGTATATTGGCAGTTCTTACAGCCTGCAAAGCTTTGGATCCAAATTTTAGCAAAGTCAGACCCTCTATTTCCACCCTACTGTGCATCCACCTGTGTTCGGTGCTGGACTTCTGGAATCTGAGCCTGACAACATACTTGATCCCTTATCCCGTTTTTTTTATTTCATTTCCATTCAGGTCGGTGGCACTAGGAGAGGGCCGCCAGGAGGAAACCCCACAATGAGCTCGTCAGTGCTTACGGGAGACTCTTCTGTATCCACATGGCTTTTTCCGGTTTCCTGTCTAGTCCACTGGGGAATCGTTCAGCACTTCCCGTCAAAACGGAGCCTCTGCCACAAGACCACACTGCTTGTTGCACACTGACCTAATTCTGCGGCCCCAGCGGGACCTGCTCTACTGTTACTACAGCTTACCCTGCACTTTTTTTCTGCTTATACCATGAAGGATTAGTGTGTTGTTTTCTGTTGTTCAAACACTGTATTTGTAAATGGAAACAAAGTAAGTGCATTACCTCTCTGTTGTCCGCAACAATGATCAGCTCTACATACTTGGTTGTCTTCTGAGCATGTCTTTTATGCTGAAGTAAAAACAGAAATGTTGCATGTTAGAAATGTTTGTTAGAAACAATTTGTCCATTTGATCCTCCTGAAGATCTGACTTCACATTTCAAGCACTGGCAAATATCATAGACACACAACTGATGTACTATTGCTTGCTGTGGGCCTAAATTAAAACCCTTTCAAGCGTGCAATACCTACAAAATCTTTCAATACACTTATTTTGCTTTCTAAGAAAAGAAAATACCAATCTAATGCCTGTTAAGGTAGAAATGATCTTCTAAAAACTTGAAGCCCAGATATTACTCAGGGGTCATTAGGTACTGTATGTTGGTAAGTTTCGCTTCCTGAATCAAATGGAGATTTTAATGCTGGGAATAGTGGCAGATGGATGCTGCACCTGCTCCATGTAAATCATTGGCCAAACCTGCATGGGCCCTCGACTTTGGGCTCTAAGCACAGATAAAATGTGTCAAGCCCAAAGCAACACCCTCTGGATCTTATCCAAACTGGTCGGCTTGCCAATTTGCTGATCTTCGGTCAAACACCAATTTATCTTTCATCAAGTGAATATTAATCTTACCTTTCAGAAACGTTTGGCATTTAAATACAACAAAAGAAATGCTCAAATTGATGACAATATAGGTTTGAACTGTGATACCCACTGGCTCTAACGCAAGTTTTGCAATAAAAGAAACCCATAATACTAATCTCACCCTTGTGTGAAAGGATTGAAAAGGGTTTTTGATGTGGTTTTCAGGGGCAACAGAGGACATGTTGAAGCCGTGGCCACAGTCTCCTGGGGTCAGTTTGAGTTCTTCCACTCGGTATATGGAGTGGGTACAGTTGCCATGGCCAGACACCGGCTCAATGATGAATGTCTTGTTTTTAAGCGCGATGAAGCCTCTGCAGGGACAGCAGCACAACAAAGTCTGACAACAAAGCTTCAAAGCATAACCAATCTCTCAAATGCAGAATTTGATTGAATGAGGTTCTCTCTAATGGAATATTTGACAGCCCTTTTTTCTTCTAAAAGCCAACTTTTAGTGAAGCCCAATGAATCTATGAAACTTTTTTTTTGTTTTTATTTTGGCAATGGCGCCAAGTCACCCAGAGCTCCTAAACATCATCCTTGTTAGGGTTAAAACTCCAGGCTCTTTCAAATTCACAAATGAGTTCAGTATTATTATATACAACAATACCACTACAATATTAAATACATACAAAATTAAACTCTAATGTTCTTTGTCATTAGCTGTTGATAAAAGGTTGTCATGGCAAACTAAACATTTTCTGTGTCCAAAAATGTTTTCTTCCTGTTTAATTAGGCAGAAGATGGCGCCATGATGTGTTATGGCTTTTACTGATGCACAAATCTTCCAATTGTGGTTGGTCATTAGCAACAGCAAGATGCCAATTACTGCCAAAATGAGCACAGATATTTACTGGACGCCTCTGTGGACAAAGACAATGAGGTGTGACATTTTCTCCTATTCCTGCGAGTCACACACAAACTTACTGACAGCGCGCTTAAGGGGCTTAAGAGCGGTGGGCTGCTGTGCAGACTGACTTAAGTAAATATAAACATTGCAGTGGCAAATAGCACTTAAAGGGCAGAGTTGAGATGCTGCTCGAATACAAAATAATGGTTATGTTTCTTACCGAAGGCCTGAGCAGGTGCTGAGGGTGACATCAGAGTTTGGATGCTCTTGAACTTCCCCATGGTAGTAGCAGTTATTCTAAAAGACATTAATTGTTCACTTAAAGCTAGGGTTGGTAATGTATTTCAGGAGCATTTTTTGTTATATTTATTGAAATTCTCTTTACATCCCAACAGAAATCAATACATGGTAAATATTTGTTTTGTTTTGTTTTAGGGGGGGATTTGGTATTTTCTTGAACAACGTAGTACATAGAACTAAGTAGGTCCTCTCCCCAATCTCTCATCTCGACTACTACTCGTCCTCCAGCAGTAGTCCAGCACTGCGTTTTAATGTGTGTTGGGGGAGTGGTTTTGCAGGGAGACGTTTGGATGGATACTTTCAAAATCTCTGTCTCTGGCGTCTCTTCTCCTAATGTGACCTGTCCTAGCTTTAAAAGCCTTTATATACTGTAGATGAAAACAAGATTCACCCACTGGATAATGTAATTAAAAATGTATTACAGTTTTAAAAAACACAAACGCTGCTTGTCACTGCTCTTCTCTGACATCAAAAGAGGACAACATACAATGCAAATGAAGTTATTTTCTTTGAAATTAGCATGCTTTGTAGAACAGTATTTTCCTCCTATCCTTCTCCATACAAACAGGCCCTTTTGAAAAATGAATGCAACACACACACAGTTGAAGGGAGAACAAGGAAAACTGACACGGATGGGAGGTGACAGTTATATGGTAATTGTTTTTCCTTCGTTATTCTACCAGAATGGAATAGTACAGGGCGTTTAAGGTTCCTCAGACACAGTGAAAACTCTGTTGTCTGAGCACAAGGAGAGCAGAGGAAGTGACTCTCGTTAAAAGGGAATACAGACCTCCGTTTACTGTCCAGCAGCACTCCAGTCCTCTTAAATCAACTGTCATTAGTCACTATGCTGACCATTTATCATCCCCAAATATTGAACTGAAGGGGGAAATACTGAGGGGTGAGGTTTTTGCAAAAATACAGTTGGTTCCAACGTCTGTTTGATAAGTGCAATACAGCACAAGTTACAGAGCCAGGTGGTGATGGAATTTTGTAGATTCATAACATTTAGTATAAAAATAGAGCAGCAACAAAGGGTCTGTGCTTAGGATGTGCTTGACCTAGATTACTTCACCTTTCATACAAGAAAACATCAGGCAGCAATTGTGATCGTCTCCTCAGTTATCCTAAATGTGTTTGTGACTTTTAAAGTACCTAAATGCATTCAAAGTGAAATATTCAGCCAAAAGCTCATTTCCTGAAGCTACAGAAAAAGCTGAACAGAGATGGAATACACCTTAGTTAACCCCATAAAAAACCCAGTTTTACAAGAAATTCTGTGGGCTTCAAAAAAATTATTTGTAATGACTGACCCACCGCCAAGCTACTACTTATTAAGGAGTTAATTAATCACTTAATTTATAGTTCCTGCTTAGGTTTTTTTTATAGATGTTGACCTGTATGCTAAAGGAGCAGCAGTAAAATCATTATATTTTCACAGTTTCTGTTCTGTCTTATGAGATAATTCTAGACAGGCAGAGTTTATTTACAGTATATGTCTCTCCACTGATCCCTGATTAACACATGCCTGATTGCTGAGTTCAGTGACAGCAGGTACTGGAAGTGTGCAGCTGTGTGAGGCTTATCTAAGACAATACAGTATGTCTGTCTGACAGCCTGATGCAACATCCTCCCACTCAAAATTAAAGGAGTGAGAGAGAGAGAGAATGGAAAACGCTGTTTGCATAACTTTGTGGGATATAGACTTGTCAGTCATTGTAGAGTTACCAAACATCTCTCCTCCAAGCTGTAAGTGACCTGTCAAACTGTCCGTGCCACTGTTCAATTAAACAGTGATTCAATCTGAGTGCCGCAAAAAGGCAAGGGACAGTTAACTTTGTTAAAAAGAGAGTAGGGGTGTACTGTAGGTACCGAGGGTGCAATTCTTCCAGACCTGACAGCGCAGCATATACGCCTACAAATACTCTCGCCGGCCAATAAATGGCAAAAGAAGAAGAAGAACATGTCAAAGACAGCGACGAGTTCAGCTATACAACTGATTCACTCGCAAAACTTTTGTGCACTCTCTTGTCTGTGTGAGCTCCTACTCTGGGGCGAGACAGAGAGTGGTGGGAAGTCGCACACTCGTCACGCCACGAATAAAAAGCAAAAAAAGAGTAATTTATTAATGCAATCCACGTAAAAGATGTATAGACGAGGAAAATAAACACTCAGCAGAATACAGTACATTTAGGTAACTCAGGTAAAGGCTGCACTGAAGCAACAAACTCTGCAGGACACTTAAAAAGGGAGAAAAAAATTAAACAAGACAAGACAAAAAATATTACAGGGACAGTTTGTTATACGATATTTTATAGTCTACTTTGTTTATTAATTATATATATAGGCTATATTAATATTAGTACATTATATATAAAAAACATTAAGGAACAGTTTGGTTGCAGGGAAGTTTTTCTTAATGCAATGCAGAGCTATTAACTGGGACTCAGTGTCATCTGATATTCAATGTTAAATGGGGATTGGGGCAAAAAAACTACTTGTTTGGGACATTTTTACTGTGGTATCAACTACAACATTTCTGTTATTGTTATCCCTCCTCTTCAATGGCTGCTGATGACAGTGAAATACTCCTTCTACCAAAGTGGAAGTAAAAAAGTACCTTCATGACAGAATTAAGTAGCAATTATGCCTGAATTTTCTCTTGTGAGCCACATACACAGAGCCACAGTGAGTGGCCTTGATAAGTACTTGAAATTCAAAATGAAGATCAATCTTTTCTTCATTTTAAAAAGAATAGCAGATGCTTTGCTTTACACAGCTACCGTACATGTACACGCAGAATTAAAAGAAGTAGCCAGGAATAGATCAGCTGCTAAAAGGGGATTCAATAATAAAATCCTGATGGCAATGTTGGCTTAAAAACAGCCAGCATAAAATACAGCTTATCCTCAAGTAGGCCACAGGCTAGACGTCCTGTTCAGCAACAGCCAGAAGCTTTCAAATACACACTGGTCACATTATAGATTGATTAAAAAAACAAACAAAAAACAACTATCTAATTTCAGTCCTAAATTTGATTAACTAATGCATAAGATACAGTGTAGATCAGATATAATACCGATCCCCTACAAGTAAAAAAACATCTGTCTACATGAACGTTTTTAAAGGGTCAGTTTATACAGCGTGACTTCGTAGCACCACTGCACGTCAATTCGACCATAAATGTCAAAAGCACTCCAGTGCCACCGTACCGTGAAGTTGTGAGCACCGGTGACTGCACTTCCATCCTCCCGGTAATGTGTCTCAGTGTAATGGCTTGCAAAAAGACCCCTAAGAAGAGAGCAAAAAAAGAGGAGACACATCAAACACCCAGGCATTTTTTTCAACAATCTGAATAGAAAAAAGTTTGTCAAAGACAACTCTACCCAAGAGTTGATTTTGTATGGGCATTCAGTTTTGCTTGTGAGGATTTTGGGGGTTAATGCTTAACATTCTGAGGCAAGGAGAGACTTGATTTTCTGTGAATTTATTAGGTGATTTGTACGTGTCCTTGAATCCCCTGGCATTCAGCACGACTTAGTAGAATCCCTGCTGAGGTAATTATTTTGTACATGTGCGTTCCTGTGCACATGGGTGTCTGTGGACATATTTTAAAGAGAGTGTCAATGTGTATGTGTGTGGGTTTTCCTCTCAAGGCCATGAGCAGATGGACACAGTGAGCCCCACCCCAAGCACTGGCAAAGGAGCAGCAGGAACACCCATCTTTTGCAGCTGCATAATCACACTGACATCAGGCAGGATGATCTCAGGATGTGTGTGAATGTGTGAGTGTATGTATGAGAAAGAGAGAGAAAGTGTGAGAAGGTAACAGCAAGTGAAAAATGCAAAAGAGTGACAATGTTGTCAATAACTCTGTATGTGACATGATTTAAGATTCCTGGCCAAAATAAAACAAACTCACCACACCATGGTCCAACAGTAAATATAATGCAAAGTAGTCAATTTAAGTCTGTGTGCTGAGTGCAACTGCCATGTCAACACTAAAAATGTCAGAAAAGTATCACAAATTGGTCGACTTTTTTTTTTTTTGCAAAAAACATGGGATTCATAAAGACAGAAGGGGAGATCTAGAGGATTTAAAAAACTGGAACGCAGTGTTTGTCCAAATCACAGTGGGAACCATTCATATCCCACAGTGCTCTGCCATCCCACACAGCTTGCATGGACAACAAACCCTAATTAGATGAGAGTGGATAAGCCAATAATTGACTTTTTCTTAACTTCAGCACCATTTAATATCTTATCTGTACATTTAAAGTTCATTTTTTATGACCTGTTCAAAAAAAGGATCAATCCTCTGTGGCCCTAGCCTGGCCACATTTAACTTCATTAAATACTTATTATCACTTTAATGTGCCTTATCATGCCATTAGCAAGCTCTAAACCAAATCTGAAAAGCCAACGGCCAGTAATCACTTTAAAGAGCCCGGTAAGTCTCATTAAAAATGGATGACACATCAAAGGGTAGTGTATACTTAATGGAAAATCCCAAAATATGTATCTTTATACTTAACTTGCAAAAGCAGTGTTTAAAAAGTGAAATTGATAAATAGCCGCCTCCCACCGTAACACCAGCATGATACTATAATGTTTTTGTTGAAAGGATGGCAAATTCAAAATGCTCTAATAAGGGATGTTTTTGCAGTAAAGATGGGATTTGTGTCATGTGAGCGGTAATTCCGAGCAAATGCTCCCGTGCTGTGTTTTGAGGACATGTTTGGGAGAGCCAGCTTAGGGCAGCGTGGCCCCCGGTACTACGACACATAGTGTATTAAATCTGCAGATTTTACATGATGGAATCTGCCTGTAATCAACTCCTTGGCAAGAGTTTTTTAGGCCATGAATGTTTACTGTGTGTTGAGGAGAGTTTCCTCTCCGCCCTTGCTGGCTACTTTAGCTCTGTGGCGTGGAACTGTGTATGTGATGATCAGATGGCCTTGGTTGTGGATGGATGTGTCCCTCTTTGCCTTTTTAGCTGTTGCACTGACTACAACTTTAAAAACAGGCCTCAGTTTAACTTATTCCTGAGCACATTCAAAAAAAGGTTTTAACTCGACATTTTCATTGAGAGCCGAAAGAGAATGTCATTCTCACTGCCCCTAAGATGTGTTGGGTCGTGTTTTTCCACTAAACCGTAAGCAATGGAGGAGAGCGAGTTTTTCTCTGAATACCAGAATACTTTCATGAGATTATACCTCCTTTCTTAGCAACAACTACCCAATTCCATTCCTATTTTTGTCAAGAGGAACATGCAGCCAATCAAATGCAATTTAGATGGAGTGCAGCAGATGAGAATTGGCCTGAAAATCGCCTCAGTTCTCACCAGAAACCTTTTCTATAAGAAAGTACTGCTTTCAGTTTTCCTCACTGTATAAGAGACAGGTGGTGAAATTTATGAATGCAAGTGAAATACAGAGCCTCTGACGGATGTGCTAAATGACTTTCTATTTTAACATGCACCTTCGCTCCACATGAGTAAAATGATGATCTCAAACTTTCAATTTATTACGCAACTGCAATTTTAGACAAAAGTGTAGCATGTTTTATGAGCTGCCCTGTGAAGTGGTAGTGTGTGTCTTTGCTATTTTACTGCTTGATATTAAGATATTCTTTTTTTAATATACTTTTGAAAGAAAAACTTTCAATATTTCTCTTCAGAAATGTTTTATGTATAAATCTCCTGTAACTGCTTGAGTCAATAACCATTGATTCAATGCTCCTACGTGTGTGTTGAGATTCATTAGACACAGTCTAACATCTAATTAAAGTTTCACTAATAGTCGCCCAGGTTAATTGTGATGAATGAGGGGCTCTTTAATAGCACCTCAGGGAGGCAGAAAATACCGCTATTTGTCCTAAAAAATAATCTCCCATCTCTTCAGCATCTTATAAAGTGCTCTTCAGAATTAATTTAATTTCTCTGAAAATTAATTTACGGCATGAATTATTGATTGTTTCTAAAAGCCAGATGAATAATTTCCACACTTCCCCTAAAAGCTTTGTATTTTGTCGGTGCTTATATTTTGTGATGAACATAATTAGGAGTATGGTTTACTAGTTGGAAAAGGTGTTCATGCAGATCTTTGTCAATCCTTTCAAACTCCCTGATCCCTATTGTCTCAGATTAACATATGTTCCTGTTCCCTTTCCATTTCTTGACATAAATGGATTGCCGACCTGTATCCTACACAACAATCAATGAATGGCTGCCAGAGATATGACTAGCACAATGCAGGGACCAAACACACAAGGACACAGCAGAAAAACTCATTACAGTAGACCATACAAAATCCCTCTTCCTTTTTGTGCTGCATGAAAAAACGGTCAGATATGAGTTTCTGTCATATCTGAAATTATGGGAGGTGGAACTGTTGTCGCTGAACCAAATATGTTTTGGTGGGTCTTATTTGAAAAGAACAAATCAAACCTAGCAGACACAGACTCACTAACGCGGCATAATTGATGAAGCCGAAACAGGATATGTCGAACGTTGTTTACATGAATCAGTGTTTTTAATTTCATCCTTTTCTCAAGCATCCAGAAAGTACAGTGTTCTGTGCAAATTTAAAGTGCTGAGCCTCATTTACATATATGTGACTCCATGCCTCATGTAATAATTCACCATTACACAAAGCCCTTGAGCATGAAACCATTTGAGAGAAATGTGGCTCCTCTTGCAGTCTCTCTGCTTCCTTTGAAGACTGCTAACTTCAGTGATTTCTTTTAATCCCCTCTACCCCACGAGCCTAACCCTAAGCCTTCCTTCCTATAGCTGCTACTTATGGTACTATAGGCCTAACTTGAAAAAGGAGCAGACTACTACAGAAAGAGAGAGAGATGAAGAAGAGAGGAGGAACTAAAGAGGTGTGGTTGACAAGTCTAATTCTATTTCCACATACAGATGCGTTCCAAATTGATTTACATACAGCTCAATGTCCCTTCAGCTTAGGCTTGGCTGTATCGGGTGCACTGGAGTGTACAAAGCCAGCAAAGACGGAGAGACAGAGATGAGGGTGGGAGGAGTGGAGGGAGCAAAACAGAAAAATCCCCTGAACTGCAGAATTATAGGAGCGCCTTCCTTCACTCTACTTCTCTGGCTTGGTAAAACATTACTCACATACATTTGTACTACTCCCGGTAACAACACAACTCACAAAATTAATCTGTTCTTTATAGGTGTAAATTTTATCATGTTAACTATATCATCAGTTTGGTAGCAGGCTTTCCGGTATATCTTCGTCCTGAATCTGGTTTCAGCTAGGTTGTCTCCCTGAAATTTAAGGTGTCCAGCCACACTAGTAGATATCTGAGACTATAGACTAAACACTAAATGTATTTGAGCTAAATGCTAACGTAAGCAGGCTAACATGCTCTCGATTATAATGTTAACATGCTAATGTTTAGCAGGTATTTAATGTTTACACTGTCCACAATCTTAGTTTAGCATGTTAGCGTGCTAGTACAGTTGAGACTAATCTGAGAATGTCATTAAGAGATAGATTTGTCATTTGACCTGATGGTGATGCTAAATAAAATGTCAAGGAAACACCCAAGATATTACTATTCATCCTATGGGGAACATAAATGTCATGCAATCCTTCCATTAGTTGTGGAGTCATTTCAGAGGAAAAGTCAGGTGAGCAGCGAAGTGTGCCAATCCATCAAGCAGACATGGAGATATTTCACTAGAAAAATTGTAAATCAATTGGTACACACAGTGTCAATGTACAATGTCAACGCCAGATTGATTAGGATCCTTCCCTGGGGACCTTGACTGGCTGTAACAAATTCCATGGAGGTCAGTAAATTACCAAAGTCATTAGGATTTATCCTCTGGGGCCCCAAGAATGTCTGTACAAAAGTTCATGCCAATCCATCCTATACTCTGAAGTGGTGGACTGACCAACCAACTGACCGTCTTTGTCCTGCTGCTGGTATGGCTGAAAAGTCACATTAATGAGAAAGCAGACAAAAATTGTCCAATAAAAACGTTCCAGTAGGCAGCAGCCCAATATCAACCAAGCAGGCGGACGGACCCAGCCTATTTAAATATTGACTGACCAAAGCAAAGATAGCTCCTTAATGAGTCAAGATCCCTCTTTGCTTAGATAGAAGTCACAGAGAGAGCAGCTCACTTTTAAATCATTCTGCAGTGAGTTCCCGAAAGCACTAGATGATTTCCCAAAATAAGATTCTCATCATAGGAAAAAGAAAGACAACCAAATGAGACAATAAATAGCAATCTCTGCAGAGAGATGGTATATGCGAAT